GGTTCGAAATACCATTGCACGAAGGTGATTCCACAACGTGGTTGTGCGTGATAAGGAAATATCATTGCTGGAAGGTGACTTCAATTTGTAGTTGTGATATGGTAAATATTTTCTGGAAAAACTCACTTGCCATACATTCAGATAATTAGGGTGATATTTTAGTTTCTGGAACGTAGTGCGCTGGTGAAATTCAGTAGCTGGTAAGAATTCGAACAATTTCTCAGAACACTCTCCGTGATATATGCGGTAGAAAATGCACTTTCATCGACAAGTCGTTTACAAAGCAACCAGGTGGAATAGGTGAGACTAAGGTATCCCAGCAGAGAACTTTGTACAGAGATACAGTGCAAGTATAGTCTACCTAATTAAAAATTATTATTTCTAATAATTCCTACAACTAGCGTATTTAATATCAAGATATCTCAAGATAATTCCTACGTTATCTAGTCCTAAGTTAAGCAGAGACTGTGTTATAGTTACAAGGCAATTGATATAAATACATACATATATTTTTTTATAAATACACTACCTTCCCACCCCGGGTTTGCCCAGGTGTTCATGTATTATACATATAAACCTTTCTGTTGAATCACTCCATCTATTTAAAAAAAACCGCTTCAAAATCCGTTGCGTAGTTTTAAAGATTTAAGTATATATAGGGACGGACAGCAGCACGACAGCGACAGCGACTTTATTATTTTATATTATGTAATGATACATAATATACATAGAATACACCTAGATTGAAACAAACAATCATACTCATGAATACAAATGATGTACCATGCGAGGAATCGAACCCGCGACGATCAAAAGTCAAGCGGTATAGTATACTTGATATCCTCGGTGGTCTAGTAGTTTAGCACATCGCTTGACATCTGATGGCCACGGGTTCGATTTCTCGGTGTCATATATGTGTATTATGTATGTACTTACAAAAAAAAAATTAAGTATTCTATCAGTTATATATCTATAACTCAAGCTCTGCTTAATTTAGGACTATGCATTTATACTGGACAATACTCGCAATTCTATATATATATATACATATAAATATACATACGTATATATAGAATTGCGTATATTGTCCAGTGATATTAAAAAAAAACTGCTAGAACACTGAGACCGACTACAGTAGGTACTATAATAAAGGAGCTAAATCAAGTACAACAAAAGTAGCCATGTTCCGTTATGTTACATTGTAAATGCGACTATTACAGTAGATACGATGGCCTGCATGGCAGTGTTGCAACACTTAATGGCTTAATGGAATTGTTTGGCGCATTTCCGCTGTACACGGAATTTTAATTATCAAAATAACTATTCTAATTAACAGATGAATGCTGGAACAACAGAACTATTTTGATAATTTCTAAATTTAAATTCATATTCCGTTTGCCTATTTTAATTAGGCCTCGGTGGTGTAGTGGTTTACCACACGGGTATATTTCCAATGGATGCGGATTCGATTTCTCGCACGGTATAAATATTTATATTCATGAGTATTGTATCGGTTGTAAGGTTTTTTATTTTTTATTCTACTCGTGTGTAATGTACGTAACTTAAGAAATCTGTATTAAGTACTTTTGAATATGAAAAAAGGGTATGAAATGTTGTATGAAAGTTGTACGGAACACCGTACTATAATAATCATATATAAATTATCATTTACGCAACATATATCATTTTATTATGTACAAGCTTTTGCCCGCGGTTTTACTCGCGTTAATTTATCTCCTTAGGGGTGGATTTTATGAAAATCCTTTCTTAGGGGATGCCTACTTCATAGTAGCTTTATGCATGCAAAGTCTCAGCCCGGTTTAAAATTGACAAAGTTTCATACAAACTTTCATCCCTTTGAGGGTAGAATTAATCAAAATCCTTTCTTAGCGGATGCCTATGTCATAACATCTACCTGCATGCCAAATTTCAGCCCGATCCGTCCTGTGGTTTGGGCTGTGCGTTGATAGATCACTAAGTCAGTCACCTTTGAGTTATATATATTTAGATTACTATACAATAAATCAGTGAGTAACATCAAACGCTCACTACGGGACATATCTTTTATTTATCATCCCCGTAGATTATCAATTATCATTAGCAACCCCTAACGAAGTATCGTCAATTTAAAAAAAAATTTTATCGTAAAATTTAAAATATTTTTACGAATCTTTATATTTAATTAACATTAAATATAAATAAATATGACATTCAAAGTTTATAAAAATGTTACCTTTAAGGGGGGTTAAATTAAATTAGGGGATGAAAGTTTTGTAAGGACATTCCTTATTTTTGAAGCTAGAAAAATTTTCTTCTTTTTATTTATAAGTTTTGTTCCATTATTCAGTCAAGGTCACTATATCTCACGCGGACGAAGTCGCATGTACAGCTAGTGTATTTATATATCTTTCAGTCGTTTAATATCGATATTACAAGCTCTATTTAGTTTAAGACTAGATGGCGTTGAATAGAAACATGAGAGTTCCAAATACTGGAAAAGCAAACAGGTCTCAACGTGTAATTGGTAAAAAACATTTCAGCACTTTGCCACGAAAATGTTTGCAATTTTCACTCAGATCAAGCCAGCCGTGTAACCGACAAAGAAGCGAAACCGCCGGGGATAAAAGCTCGAGAGAAAAAGCCGACCAAATGCGAAATGACGACGTTTGTCCCGAGAATATATGGGATCGTATGTATTTTACAATTCAATGTTTATAAACAAAACATTACTTAGTGTACGGAACACCGTACCATAATAATAATATACTTATAAATTATCACTTACGTAGCATATATCATTTCACTATACATATATTACTATACAATAAATCAGTGTATAACATCAAGCGCTCACTACGGGACGTATCTTTTATTTATCATCCCCGTAGATTATCAATTATCATTATCAACAAGTGTAGGAACAACCCCTACACTTAGAGTTGTTGTTTGTAAGCGACTGAATTTTTTTTTATTTCATGACAAGGCACCTTGCTGTTAAATATTGTATATATTAGATTACATTAGATATATATTACATTTAATGTAGTATATCTAACAGTAACTCTGACGCTAGCTTAAAAGCCAGAACAAAACAAAAGTTGTAAAAAACATTGTAATTGTATTAAAAGTATTGTAAAAAAGTGTAAAATATCGGAACAGTAATGGACTTAAATAAAACCTTAATAATAAACAAAATAATATAATACAGTTTTAATAAATGTTGTCACAAAGATCTGTATATATATAAATGTACAAATAAGAAATAAATTAATAATGATAAAGTGCTTATTTTTGTAAATACATACATAATAAACATAAAAAACAGACAATCAAAGAAATAACATTTAATCGTTCGATCAGTTAAATTAAATAATATAGATATTTCTCATCTTTCAGTAAAGACATAAATCCGATTAAGAAATTTGTTTTCAACTATTTTATAACTCGTTTTACTCATGCAAAGCTACTACTGAGACTCTTGACTTCTATTTCAATATTTTAAATATTATTTACATTTTTATACTTATATTTTAGTCATTGAGTTAAGTTGAGTAGAGACAAAATATTTTTTATTTGTTTGATAAAACTACAGCATAGTAACTGTTTAAGATAGTTATAGATTGTTTAAACATCTTAAGATTTATGTATAAACTAGTATGCCTAATATATGTAGTTTGTGATAGAATTGATTTTTATGTACCTTATTTATAAAACTACGAACCTTAGCAATACCCTCTATTAAGTCATCAAATACGTCTGATATAAAATATATATAAAAAAATATAGTCAATAAGTCGAAACAAAAATACCTTACCATAAATAAATAATGAGATAATCCCATAGAAACTACTACAAATAAGGACTAATAACGACATTATCAGCAGAACAAAACTGTATGGACCATTTTCTTAATTGAATAAAGTAAAAGTGAATCTAACACTTCTCAAGGGTTCATTTTAGGCCCACTTTCAATTACAAGACTAGTGTGTGCCTTGAATTATCCTAAAATACGTAACGGCAAGCCGTTTAGATAAACCGGCACATTAAAAGCTTATCTTCCAAAGGGATGTACACAGAGGGTCTTGTATTATTCAACGTAATTGCGCTCAGAAGTAATTAATCCAGATATTTTAAACTAGTCCCTGGAATAAGAGTTTTGCAACTCAACAAATCTTCTCTAAATAATTGTATAATATATTAAAAGACTTTTTTTGGATAAAAACAATTTTTTAATGTATTATACAATTAGTCAGAGAAAACAAGAGACTAGTGACATTGATTTAACTTCAAAAAGATCGATTACTTTATCGTTTTCGTTACTTTAATCGTTTTATCGATCTTCTTGAAGTTAAATCAAATGACTTTATTATTTTAGGTCTATTAATGTTAAATATGCTTATAATAAGTCAAATCTATTACATGTGCCATAAGTCTATGATTTGTATTAATATAATGACAATAGTAGTTCATGCACAGGATTTTAATTTAATCTTAGATGTAAACCTATATAAGAAAACAAAGTAAATAGACTTTAAAAAAAAAGAAATTCAGTTGATTTTCTTGCCAGTTCATCTAACTAGATTGGCTAGAAGTAGATGGTAGGGAAAAATAATATTAATAGAAAAACTTGACGTTCATAATCGGCTAAAAATCCATAAATAAATTACTTATGATTAGATTTCATATTAATTAAATTTTAATATAAGTCTGTAATAACATCAATTTTACGAAGTACCTACATCGGTAAATATATATAAACGTAGATGGGTACTGCAAAATATTTCTTATTAGTAATATTAAAAAATCATAAGAATAAAAAAAACTAATACTATTGAAAGATGTTTAACATAAAAATATTATGTATTCGATCAAAATTGCATTAGGAGAAGAAGGGTAGAAAAACTATTTCTAAACGAGTCCGAATTTACCAATTGTTTTACTAATTACACTACTCGTAGAGAGCCTAGACTTATGTTATTAAATAATCAATAAGTACTCACCGTATATTAACGTGATGAATAGTAGTATTGCATTCAATATGTATGAATGCCTCTTTAAGCTCTTCATGTTGTCTGCCATTATTGGTTTCTAATTAATCTTACACAATAATTATAGTAATATTTAATTTGACACTATTTTCCATTTCATCGTCACATCTAACACTAGAATCTTAATTATAACTACCAATTAGTTCCAATTGAACGTTTTCTACCTCTTAATTACTGAATAGTTCGGAGACATCGTGTCACAAGCTACGAGCTGCTACATGTATACCTGTTTCTACTAAATCTGTCAACATTTATTCTAGTTCGTAATTAACTCGTTGACAAATAACTAAATGACACTCTCAGCCCATATAATTGATGACGCGTCATACATTAAAAGTTGCTACAAGATAACGATGGAGCTATTTATATTTTACACTACCCCAGGGTTTGTTACGCGTAAGTGGCTCGTGCTAGAGACGACTTCAGCACGAACGGTAATATGGATTACTCTATATAGCATAGTGTATACGGTGCTTTTAAAATAAACTGTAATCTCCCTTGTTTTCCGAGATAAATCTCATCTAATCCCGGCGCGTAAGTTTAAAAGAAATTCTACTTTGGCACCCCATTTCCGTTCTTAATTTACGATCACCAAAAGCATCACTTGCGGCACTTCAATTATTTATGTTCGTACCGATTTTTTTTATCACAGAAATCGTCACTGCTCAGTCCAGTTTTGAAACGAGTGCTTAGTATCGGCATCTCCGATGAATCTCTGTGTCCCAACACGCACGTCCGCTGTGCTGAAGCGGTGTGAAAGCACTGACTTACATAAGGGATTTGGCCCGTGCCAGCCGGGTGTCTGTTAGAAAAGGATAGTAGATAATTTTCGTAAGGGTTGCAGGTCGCGGGGGTTCTAAACTGAGAAGGACGGAGGAGATTTCACAGTGGTCTTCTGAAGCGTCAAAATCTTGTGTGAAGAAGCAATTAAAAGATACATAAATCTGAAAGAGAAACGTTTTCAGCTAACTCAACCGTGTTAATAAGTATTTAATCGTGCCATTAATACATTCACAACATAAAGACTGGAAAATTATGATTTCGAAATTAAACATTAATGGGTCGGTAATTTGGATAAAGTGTACAAATAATTACTCTATATTTTACAATTATGATAATAAAATTATATTAATAATTGCAGGTAATGTACTAGTATACTAATATGTAAATATTTAGTTACTTTTGAAACCATTTCATGATTTTTATTGAAGTTTTCACCGTCATTTAGTAATACTATTAGGAAGTATAGAAGGCAATAGGTTGATAGGATCTTATTTATTCTAATGGAACGGCGACTAGTTGAACGGATGAAAACATACTCGTAAACATCTCGTCAAATGACTTTAGTGGTACTCAAACTTTGACACTCTGGATGACTAAATTTCCATGCCTCATTAAACCATACTTTAATACAATTAAATTGGACATTATATTCAAATAAATTAAAAGCAATTTTTCCAAATATATAAGTATATGAATGACTAACATATTTGTAGTTATTTAATAATATTCAGAACAGATCTTGTATCGGGTCAAATTCGATGGAAGTCGTTGGATGTGAGCAGCGCAGGACCGATCGTCATGAAGATTTTTGGGGGAGGCCTTTGTTCAGCAGTGGACGTCTTCCGGGCTGAAATGATGATGATGATGAATAATATCCAACTCTGTTACAAACTTCCTCATGCAAAAGTTTGAAAATTGCACAGCTTTCAGTATAGGAGTTATATATATTAGATAAATTTAGTTAGATACATATTTGTATTAGGACCAATTCGAATGCTATAAATGTATCTCTAATTTTAGTTAAGTTTGCCCAATGAATTTGCGTAAATCTATTTTTAGAACTGAATGTTGATTTAACAAACTACTTTATAATATAAATAAAATTTAAAGTCGAGTATCTTGCCAGTTCTTCTCAATTGAATTTGTATACTTAACTGGTACTAATGGTACGGAAAAAAAATAATATATAAAAATAATACAAAAAAATTGCATTTTTGATGTAATTTTTATTATTAAATCAAATAACTTTTAGTATAGTAGTATTATGTAATATTATATTATCTGTGGTAGTATATAGAATTATAATATTGATTGATCCCCTCAGAATCAAATAGGGATCGAAATTAGGACGGCCTGAGCAGAGGTTCGAATCCCTAGCGGTGCTCTCAGACTAAAGTTGTATCCGTTAGGTAGCCCTTCAGTTGCTCCATAAGTCCTTCCGCAGGTTTAGAGGTATCTATACAAGTAGTATAGATGGTAATCTATACAAGTAGGGAACTTGCCTGGTGAAGCTGTAAAGTCCAGCTACGGCCAACAAGAAATTAGTTTTAATTATAAACAAATAAAATGGGATTTCTTTTTATGTGTCAATAAAGTCTAAAGCAATGAGTAGCTGTTTTTAAGTCAACTTCTAAATGGTTTTGCCTAGCAACCCTCAAGATTTTTGTAAATCTTATTTTCTACCAGTAAATTCACTAAATTTCAGCACAATTTAAAGGTTTCGATTTATCAGAAATATAACTAAATAATCAAAACTCGATACAGAATTAAAGCATTATGTTTCATAATTTGATATTTAATATAACAGTTTTGTCATTATAAAACGTGAGAGTAAATCAATTTCACTTTATAATTATAATCACAAGGAGTACAATCAACTCCCCGGCATTGTATTTCATAAATAAATTAAAAAAAAATACTTTTGTATTCTTATGACTGCATATATATAATTTCACTGCATTACTGCATTACTGCATTCTTCAATCTAAGGTAATGCTTTCAAAGCAGCTTGGTGACTGCAATAGGCCTCTCAGGGGGGAAGGGTAAAAGGTGTTAGTAATGTGGACTAATGATGCCATTGCTAGCAACGTACCATGTCAGGTCGACCTCCACGCGGTTGCCCCAGGAAACCATCGTGATAAATTACAGGTGAATTTGTCTCGATGGGCTAACTGACCTGACTTCATGTTCATACTATCATCTTCCACTGGTGCCCCGTCAGCGTAAACCGTTAGCGCAGACGAGTGCACCACTCCACAATCATTAACTAAAAAAAAGGGCTCTCTACATTATACAATAGTTTTTTTAAATTCTATAACGAAAAGAAAAATAAAAAAAATATAACTCAATAGACTTTTTTATTGGACTTTTAAATATAATAGTAAACTTAAACATATACAGAGTGAGCAAAGGTGGACTTATCTCTAAAAGAGATCTCTACCAGTCAACCTAAAAGTGTGATATAGCTATTTTTTGTTTTTTTTTATCTTTATATTTTTTGGGATTTTTGTGCACAAAATGTGACGATGATATCGATGATATCCTATCGTACCTATAGTACATAAATAACAAAAATAAACTAAAACACAACTAAAAACTTAAACCAATATGATACCATCCAGAACAATAACTTGGCTGCATCGGAAGCTGGTTCTGCCAATATTTCATGAAATACTCCTATGTCTAACCTAATATAGCTATTAGTGAGTGGTGAGCACTTAACAATATAATTGAAATGTCCAAAATTTGAAAATAAACATTTAATTTTATGTTTTAACTTTGACGTGGTTATTATACCTACATATAATTACGAAAAATCATAGGTTCTTACCGGGATTTCCGGGACCTCATTAAAAATAATTAAAACGTGGTAAGATCCCGTTAGAAGATGTTTTCTTCTAATTGTACAAGAATTTATTAGTATTTGTTATAAAATTTCAGTCCGCTACTGTAATTAGAAATATCATTGTTGTAATTTGATATAATTAATTATGAATATTTATATTAAATATTATAATAGTTAAATTAGTTGAGAATTAGAGGTTATTTATTACATAGAAAATAGTATAAAATTGTTATTAATTTTAAAATGATAAATTATAACTCATATAAAGAAGTGAGAGGACATAGGCCTTCTTTATCTAAAAAAAATAGAAAAAGTACTCACTATACTTCTATATTTATATTTAATAACTAGTTACTATATATTTCCTTTATATATTTTGTATGTATTTATACTAAAAATAGTATATACGTATTTATATCATTTTTGTTTGTATGCGACATTGTGTCAGTATTGTTATGCGTAACACAAGCTCTGCTTAGCTTGGGACTAGATGGCGCTGTATGAATATTGAATTGTCCCGGAGTTATTAATATTACTATCATCATTACATAGTATAAAACAAAGTCATTGTCGCTGTCTGTCCGTCCCTATGTATGCTTAAATAAAACTAAGCAACGGATTTTGAAGCGGTTTTTTTTAGTAGATGGAGTGATTCAAGAGGAAGGTTTATATGTATAATACATGTACCCGTGCGAAGCGGGGGCGAGTTGCTGTTATTATATATTTTTTAATCTATGGAACCCTTAAATACTTCAGTATCTCAATAGACATGACCATCTTATCACTAACTACCAAGATATGCCTACACCGAGCTGAATCAATATTGTCTAAGATGACCCTTCCTATTCCTAGAGTACAAATATTTACGTTTAATATTAAGAGGATTCCCGGTCAAAGGTGATACTAATTAATTTTATGCAAAATCCATAGATTTGACTGGAGTTTGCTGCCTAAATACATTTATAGTTTGGTATTTTACTTGCACTCTAGGTTTGGTTAAATTTTAACAAATGTATTTAAGGATTATATAGAATTAGACTTTAAATACATACATACAGTACAGTACAGTAATAACTTAGGATGCAATTTAATCTATTCAAGCTCACACAGTTATATGGTTCTGTTGTTTAGCACACCGTCTTAACTTCTTCGTCGTGGGTTTGATTCGCATGGTATAATTTAATTTTTATTAATATAAATACTGGATTTGTATTTCTGTGAGAGGAACAATAAAGAGTTTCATTCATTCATTCATACTCAGAAAAATATGTACGACCACGTTTATGTTGATCGAAATGTTAATATATATTATATATGTATTTACAAAAAAATCTATCAGTCCAATACCCATAACACAAGTTTTGCTTAGTTTGGGAACTTTTTTACTAAGCTATTTGTATTCTCACATAATCTTAAAAATGTATTTATTTTATTTATTCTTCATTGTGTGTATGTCACAAAAAAAAAACCAAACATATAATTTATATTAAATAAAGATGTACAACAGACGAGCTTAACTCTGTAAGAGTTCTCTTCCAGCAAACCCTGAGTGAAAAGGTGCATTCATTACCAGCGGGCAGTGTGCTTACAATAATAGAAGGAAATAGTATAGTTGTATAATGTAATGCAAATCAACATTTAATTAAAAGATAAACACGTAAGTGTCATCTTGTGATGAATCTTTCTTCAGATACTGAATATGTGGTAGAATAAAAAATTTGACTATTCGACTTTCGAATAGTCATGTTTTTTTTAAGATTACTTCTTTGCTATTATATTAGGTGGCACTGTGTAGTTATTTTAATTTCCTTCTCTAATATCAACTGTTTTTTTATACTACGATGGTGGCAATCAAGTATACGGCCCATCTGATGGTAATCGGTTACCGTAGCCTATGAACTGTCATATTCATATCAAAAGTTTAAGATTAAATTATCGATTACCCAAAGTGTGTATAACATAATCACTCCGTTATTTTCTTTATTTCTACTCACATTAAAGAGAAAAACATGTGCAAAAAAAAGGTAACAATCGTTTGACGAATTAAATTTTCAAATCAATCAACTAATTTGTTGTTACAAGTCCAATTTAGATAATGGGTCCAACCGGGATTACTTTCC